ATATTTTCACGGCATTACATCATCATAAAAATATCATCAGAAATGTTCACGGGCGAACATATAGGGCCGTGGAATATTGTTTGTTATTAACTTTAATCTTTTTTATATTCTTTTAATTTTCCATATCTTTCGAGCGGGTTTGCGTTTTAACAACATGGACCTCAAAGCGAAAATTGACAAGCGGCAGGGGTTATCTAATCAGTTCTTGCTCGAAGAACTGAGATTTGATAAAATTCCCAGCTCACTTGAATTTATCGCGAGTTCTTTGTTAAAACAGTTGTTTATTTTTCGGTGTTTCTTTCGAGCGGGTCACGTCTTGTCAACCTGGGCTTCAAAGCCAAAACCGACAAACGGCAGGGGTTATCAATCAGTTTTTGCTCGAAAAATTGAGATTTGATAAAATTCCCAGCTCACTTGAGTTTTCGCGAGTCTTTTGTCAAGACATTTACCTAGTTATAGGATACACCTCTATGTGGTGACTAGGACGAGTAAGCTATTTTTTGCTGAAACCAAATATCCTTATAAAGAAAATATATATCGTTGTAATTAAAAAATTATTATTTGTAATTAAAAGATTATTTGTATAAATAAAATATTAAAATAATATATTATTTGTGTTCAAATTATCGTATTTCGTATGGTTCGTCGTTAATAGATAATAAGTAAAAAAATACGTGTAATTAATTGGCTGACTTATTGGTTTTCTTTATTCTTAATAAAAGTACTGTATCTCTTGTAATAAATCACTTTATTATTCAATTAAAATTATTAATCCACACCAAATTCGACAATCGAAATTGTACAGAACTTTTCTTCCGATTTTGATTACTATGAATTATGTTCGAATTTTCCGATATTATAGCCACCTAAGAAAATAACCTAAATAATCAATTATGTCAGAGGATATTCAGGAAACTGTTAGCGTTAACAGAAAGTCTAATATATGTAAATCAATTTCGTCTAATCAAATAGAACGAACACCACAATAAATTACAATAATATGCCTATTATAAAAAAAGAAATTGTAGGAGTTACTGCAATACAAGAATAAAACAACAAAGCAGCCGTCTCTTCTTGAAAAGTGCCGGTAAGCTGTGCCAAATTCATGCAAGTAACAGCAGTTAGACCACTTGCAAATAACATTAAAACAAACCATAACATTGTGTCATTTATATACCATGTTCTCATTGATAAAACCATAACCACCCCAATTATTGGCATTATTATAAATCTACAAGACATGAGGTAACATAACTTGACTTTTGGCACGTAGTAAATTCCTTAATTGAGCTCCAAGTTTGATATGAATTAAGGGGTACAGAAGTAGCTCCATTTACTCCATAGCTTTTGATATTGTACTGTAGCAAGCGGCGAACGTCCGTCAAAGAAAATAAATTTAAGGAGAGGAACCGTACCAACGATTAAAGCTCGCGGTGTATAGTAGTGGATTCAATATATCACAGATAGCCTTTGTAAACTTACTAAATGATGATTTATGTGATATAACACAATGGGGTTTCTTCAGATAAATTTTCTTCGGATGGTTCTTTTTTAAGCAAAAAATAACCTATACTACATCTAACAAAAATTTAGTAAACACACTAGACATTATTTACCGCATCAAGTTACTAAAGAGGGAGACTAGCAATATATAAGAAATTCCCCTCTTGGCCGAGTCAGAAGGTGTATCATCTTCCCGAGATAAAATTTGCACCACGCCAGTATTATCTACAAGGCTTACTACATGATACCAGATATTACGAACTTTGTATTTGAAGTAGACAAGTTTAATAATTTCACTCCAAATATTCGGAGAAAACTGCTAGTTGCGCAAAGATAAGATAAAAAGTAGGTATAGGTCAAAGTCGTATTAATGTTTCATAGTCAACATTAGCGGCAATGTTTGAAAATAAGAGACATGGCATCAATATTTTTATTATCAATTTGGATAGATCCTGTAATTGAAAGAGCACATTGAAAAAAAAAATTTAGCAATCTTTTACAAAAGAAAAAAAAAAGTTCAACATTAACCTTTTGAATACTTGATATGATTATTCCAAATTTTGCAGCTATATAATCAGTAAAGCACACGAGAATAACTTGTGCGATGGACTGATAAATCAACTATTAGCATAAATTAGGCGGTAGGTGGGAAAGCTCATTGTGACTTCTACCTGAATAAAAACAAAAACTAGTGAAAAAGTAGTGTTATCTTATATGCTCTATTATTAATATAACTAGATATTCTATTTCTATCGTTATTATCTATTGTCGCGTTCTATGGTGAAATTGGATTATGATGAAAATTTGCACTTATTTTTAACTTGGCTTTTTTTTATAGTTAGAATAGAATTTAGGGTTAAGTTATTTAGAAAAGAGTATAAGTGGATTTTGGTACGTAGGATTTATATTTTCAAAAGAGGCTACATTTATTAAGGTAACGAATTTGTAGTGCAGTTAAATATTGTATTATAGATAATAAAATATTTTATAGTGAATCGTCAAACTAAATCTATAGATCACAAGGCCCAAAATCAAAGTATATAATTACGAATAGGGCCCGTTGTGAACAAATTTTGCAATATATCGTGATACAGTGACGAAATTTAACAATTTTGATACCATACGATCCGTATCGATGAGACGGTTTGAATGATACCAAAATTGCCAAATTTTAATTACTGGATAACGAGACATTACGATTTAACCATATTTTAGAGAACTTTGAATATCTTATAATCTAGTGATTGGAATTTAGCAATTTTGATACCATTCGATGCGTCTCGATGAGACGGTTCGAATGGTGCAAAAATCGCAAAATTTGGTCCATTAGGTCTTAAGATATTCGCAAAAAAACGGTTTCAACGCAAAACGTTTTTTGCGAATATCTTGGGATCTAATGGACACATCGAATGGTACCAAAATTATTAAATTTCAATTACTAGATTATGAGATATTCAAGTTCTCTAACATATGTTTAAATCGTCTCATCTAGTTCACTGTATCACAAAATTTGTTCAAAACGGGCCCTATTTGATTTGGTCCTTATCTTAAATTCCCCAAATCGTTACTTGAATACAGTATTATTAAAAAGAAAATATAATATTTAGTAAAATGGCCAATGGCAACGATAAGTCCCAAATTAGACCAACTTATTTTATTATATCTTTCATATCGATATGTACAGTACTAAAAGATTGCTATTAAAATTGGTAAGTTTTTAGATATAGTATGTTATACGAGATCCAATCTTCGTGTAACGTTAGTGCATAAATAGAACTTTGTCATTAACGCTAACGCAGTAACTTTTAACTGCGTTTGAGTCTTCTAAAAATGCCGATTAATCAACCTAGTAATCAAATCAAGTATGTGCGAGCAAAGTTGGTCTGATGAGCTTTATCATTACGATGATTATTATTAAATCTTTCCTTGAAAATTTGCATCTAATACAGACTCACCAACGTTTCTGTAGTCCGTTTGAAAAAAGGTGGCAAACGTTTTGAGATCGCATGTTACAAAAATAAGGTCATGGAATGGAGGAATGGAGTGTAAGTGTTCTTTTTTTATTAATAAAAATTTATTTTCATCTTATTACGTTTGTATAAGGGGCCACAGCTTTTTATTAGATAATAATTAGATTCTAATGACAATAGGGAGACGGATTTAGACGAAGTTCTTCAAATAAAAAATGTGTTCTCAAATGTATCAAAAGGGCAAGTTGCGGCACAAGGTGATCTTCAAAAAGCATTCAAGAATGAGGATATGAGTAAAATTATTGAAGAAGTACTATAAAATGCCTAATTTTGAAAGTGTTGATATTCGGATATATGAAAATTAAAAATTAATCATCTCAAATTTAATTATATTCTGCAGATTTTGAAGAAGGGAGAACTTCAAGTTAGTGAGAAAGAAAGGTCGCATCAGATTGATAATACTTATCGTGAGATTGCTATGATTGTTGCAGAGAAATGTGTTAACCCGCAAACTAAACGACCATATACTGTAACCATGATTGAAAAAGCATTGGGGGAGATACATCTCTCGGTAAATGTGAACAAGAGTACAAAATCACAGGTAAAAGTTTGTAATTATGTTCAAAATATATCGTAAGACAGAATTATATCTTATAAATTATAAATCAGGCGTTGGAAGCGATCAAACAGCTTCAGGAGAAAAAAGTCATTCCAATTTCACGTGCTCAAATGCGTTTGAGAATCACAATGCCAAATTCTAAGGAGACTAAGAAAGTAAAGGAAAAGTTGACACCTTTGATTGCAAATATTGAGGACGAAAACTGGGATAATGAATATGAACTGGTAAATTTTATTTATGATCTAATGTAGTAATTATTTTATCAAAAATATATTAAATTTTTTCTATTAGATATGTTTAATCGATCCTGGGCAGTATAGGACCATTGGTGATATATTGGAAAAAAATATAAAAGGAAATGGTCAAATAGAATTGTTATCTCTTAATGACACAAGTGAAGGAGATATAAAATTTTGATCTTTCAAGATGATTTTCTACTTGTAACAGAATTTTTGAATTTAATTTAATATAGAAATTAATCTTTCAAAAGATGTTTAACTGGGGTTTAATTATGAGCGAACCTATTTGTCATCAGTGATGATAACTTTAAGTAAAATTTTAAATTTAAAAAAATGCATATATGAAAGAGTTAATAGAAAAAAACAATTTTTTTTTAAGTAAATATTTTCTCAAGTTTAAAATAAAATATTTTAATAACTACTAAAGTAGATTAATAAAAAAATTTTATTTTAATTTTATAAGGCTATACAAACTTAATAAATCGGTTTTCATAACATAAAATTTTTAAAAATAACTAGCAACTTGGCTTTTAATTTTATTTTAAAAAAATTTTATATATAAAAAACTCATTTAGATAGTAAGTATACTTAGAAATTTTTTTTGAGTTTTGTAAATTTTAATCTGATTAGATTATGAAAACTAATTAATTAAGTTTGTATGATCTAATATTAAAATAAAATAAAAATTTATTAAATTTTATTAAATAGTTGTTAAGATATTTTAATTAAAAAATAAAAAAAAATTTATTAAAAATAATTTAGTTTTTTTTATTAATTTTTTATTTTATTTTTTAAAAATAGCTTTTTTTTTTTTTTTTTATTATTATTTAGACGATCTTGCCTATCATTTATTAAGAGAAAACATATAAAATGTTATAACAAAAATATAAGCTAAACTAATTTAACTATAAAAATGTCTTTTTTATATAATTTAGGACTCACTTGGCTGCCTAAAGTGTCCAGGTACGATTTGCTGCAATAGTAAATTTTCCTCCCCGAAGAATAGAATGCCTAAGCAGAATCATATTCTAAGGATCTCTAGAAGGCTACTATATGTCAAAAATAGCTTATTTTGTCAGAAGTATTTTATTAATTTGAATATAGAATTATATAAATAATCTTTTGTTTTTGTAATTATATGAAGAGTGTACAACTAATTATATATACAACTTTAGTTATTGTCTATTTAAGTAGTTTGCTACACAAGTATTAGACTACCTAAATAGTTCTATACAAGAGGTTTGGGTCAAAATCCTAACAAACAGAATTTCAACAAACAAAAATTCTAACAAAATTGACTAATACTATACTAATTCTAACTCTAATACAAGCTAATCTATTAGGATTTTGACCTTGTCAGAATTTTGACTAGTTCTTCTATACAAGCTATAATACCTGTAATTTGCTTATAAGTTATTTATTTAAATATTCTGTTTAACAAATCTATCATAGTTTATAAACTAATCTTATTATAATATTTAGCTATTTAAGCTAGTTAGTTTGTTATAGATTATTTATAAATTAGCTTAGATCTTTTCAAGTTATATTATACTCAACATATTATGAATATCTGCAGAGCTAATTAATCTTATAAACAAATCTATTAGTATAGTTTATACTTATTTTATAAGCTCATCTAAATTAAATTTTTGTAATATTTGTATAAATATAAATTTTGTTATAATTCTCTATTAGATTAGTTTTCTATGTTTCTAAATATTTTATGAAATAAATCTTTTTAAATTTAGTTAGCTACTAAGTTAAATTAATATTATTATTTCTTATTATAAAATAAACTTAATCATATCTAACTTAATTTATATTTTTTTTTTGTTATTAAGGTAGCTTACATTGCTAAAGGAATTTTATTAGAATTGCATACAGAATATCTATTGATAGTTTCTACTGTTTGTAATTACATGAAGAGTATATAACAAGCTATATATACAACTTTAGTCATTGTTTATTTTAAGTAGTTCACTGCATAAGTGATTAGACTACCTGATTAGTTCTACACTATACTGCTATATCTGTAACCTGCTTGTGAGTTACCTATTTAAACACTCTGTTTATTAACCCATACAGATTCAACCTAACATTACTACAACACCTAACTACCTAAGCTAGCTAGCTTGTTGCAGATTTATTTATTCAGAATAGCTTAGGTCTTTTCAAGATACATTGTACCTAACATATTGTAGGTATCACAGAGTTAGTTAACTTCAAAGCATACCTACTAGAGTAGTCCATACTTATTTTACGAATTCATCTAGCTTAGACTCTTGTAGATATTCATACAACCTCAGTTTCTACTGTAGCTCTTCACTAGTTTTCTGTATTCTATCTTCTCAGATGTTTCACAAAGCAGATCCTCCTAATCCAGTTAGCCACCAAGCCAGGTTAGTATTACTAATCCTCCCTGTAGAATAGATTTATACATACTCTACTCGATCTGTATTTTTTGATGATAGTTTCTTTTCTGAATCAAGCATTAGCTAGTATGACTGTCAAAATCTGTACTACTTTATTAACTCAGAATTTCTACTATGCAGGTTCTCTACTTGTAGATCCTATTCAAATTTATTCATATAACATTATATCTCGCTGAATACCTCATCACACTTCTAATATTCAGATGATATTAATGCAATATGATTTACAGAGTTACAACTCTAGAAACAGACAGAGTTTATTATAAGTTGAGTACAAAAGTTCAGATAATTATTCAAATTCGTTGACAGTAGAATTTGAACTTTAGACCTCTTGTATTACAGTCTAATAATTTAATCATTATACTAAGATCACCAGACTTCATTTATATTTTTTCATATATAGACTTCTTTGTTAAATTAAGTATTTTTTTTTATATTAAAAATAGCTTATATTGCTAAAGAAATTTTATTAGTATTACAAATAGGATTATATATTAATAATCTTTACTATTTGTAATTATATGAAGAGTATACAATAAGCTATATGTATAACTTTAGTTATTATCTATTTTAAATAGTCTACTATATAAATATTATACTACTTATTTAGTTTTATATTATACTACTATATCTATAATCTGTTTGTAAGTTACTTATTTAAATACTCTGTTTATTAATCTATACAGATCTAATATAATATCATCACAACATCTAACTACTTAAGCTAGCTAGCTTAATACAAATCTATTTATTTAAAACAGCTTAGATTTTCTCAAAATATATTATATTTAATATATTATAGATATTGTAGAGCTAGTTAACTTCAAAGTATATCTACTAGAGTAATTTGTATTTTCTGTATTTATTTTATAAATTTACTTAGATTAAACCTTTGTAGATATTTATGCAACTTCAGATTCTACTATAGTCTTCTACTAGTTAGTTAATCTAGTCTTTTTCTAATATTAGCTAGTTCTAGTTATTCTTTGCCTAAAGACTTTAAAACTTTTTATCTTTATTAGACTGAGTTTTCTTTTTAGATTAAACTTTAACTGATATAGTTCTGTTAAAAAGCTATACTACTTCACTAACTTAGGATTTCTACTATGCAAGTCTCTGCTTATATATTCTATCAAAATTTATTTATGTAATATTATATCATATTTCTAAGTTCAAATTAATTTAGTACAACTCAATTTATAAAAATATACTTTTAGAAATAGATAAAGTTTATTATAATATATCACAAAGTCTAAGAAATTATTCAAATTTGTTAATAGTAAGATTTAAACTTTAGATCTATTATATGATAGTCTAATAAACTAACTAATATACTAAGTTATCAGATCTTTATTAAATCAAGTATTAATTAGTATAATATTAAAATTTGTATTACTTTATCTAACTTGAAATTTTTATTATACAGATCCTCTACTTATAAATTTTATTAAGATTTTTTTTTAACCTTTTTAACAAATTATATAATGCAAGACAGTAAGAAACATCTAATATTTATTAATAAAAACTTTAAAGTATTATAACTTTTTTAAAACAAGTTAAATCAAAAAACCTTTTGACAAATTAATAGATTTTTAGATAAACTACATTTTTGTCAAAGGATTTTTTTTTATTCTTTGTTTTAAAAAAGTTATAAAAGATAAAAGTTTATATGAGTTCAAATAATTAGTGTTTAATATAAAAAAAAAGAAAAAAAATATATATTTTTAACTAATTAAAATTAATTATATAAGAATTAACTAATTAAAATTGATTATATAAACAATTTTTTTTTTTTTTTTTTCAGCAATCATGCTAATACTTTATTGAA